TTGTTGACTGGGTTATTCCTCATATTCCGATTTGTCTAATATTGCCAAGGGCCACCAATGCCCTCCAGTCATTGTGACATCCAAACCCACTCCTGCAAATTTCTAACACTCCTCCCCACCCCCAGGGACTGGTATCTTAAAATGAGAACCAACTTTTACATTACTTTTACTTCTTTCTTCCTTTCTTCCCCCCCCCCCCATAAAAAAAAACTTTTCTGCTTCTTCCTTTCCTCCCCCCCCCCCGCCATAATAAAACACCTTGAAAAAAAGGAATTGGGTTGTGGGAACCTGGCATAGCAGCCTAATAGTTAAGGAAGCTGGATCCCCCATGGCCAACCTCAGTTTGAGTCCCAGGCCCAGCAGCTTGAAAAATACAGTGGGTACATGTTTGTACCTGCCCAGAACCCCAGCAGGGTGGAGAGATGGGGGGAAGAGGGATGGCAGCATGACCATGCCGCATTGGAAGCTGCTTTCTCTCTCTCATTCTCTGTCTCTCTCTGTGTCTCTAGTGAGCACACATGCTCTCTGGCAATGACAGGTTTTTTTTTTTGAAAGAATCCATTTTTGCAGTACATTTCCGAAAGTTTACAGGCCCTGTCATTTTCTTGTTAGGCTCGTTCCCAGTGTCAAGGCTTTTGTTACTGTAAAGGGGATCCTTTTCTCATTTCTGACTACAGGGTGAACAGAAGCTGCTGCCGTTGTGGTTTCCTTTATTTGTACAGCAGATCGAGCTGTCTTACTCTCTTATGTTTGCAGCTGCTTGTCTGTGTTTTCTAGCTCAGTAACTAAATTTTTTGTAAATAATAGTTTTGTCTTTTCCTTTTGTTGTGTAATGTTTGCTGTTGGTTTTCAATTTAAATGATAGGGGTAATTTGTTTTTTTGAAGGTTTGTGTATGACACAGGTACGGTTTTAAAGGAGAGGCAAAGGTATAGATTATTGAGTACTTTTTCAGTTTTATTTTTATGATCTGGTGTTTGTTTTTTCTGTGGATATATACACACACACACACATATATATATATATGGATTTTTTTTTTTAAGTTTATTTACTTGAAAAAGGAAAAGAGAAAGACAGGCACCCCCAACAAGCTCTTCATGCTACAGCCCACCCCGACTCTCAGCCAGCCTGGATCCCAGGCATGTACACATATGTTCATGTGCTGAAGGAGGTCCTGCCATGTGAGTCCAAGACCTTTAAATGTGGGTCCAGCCTTGCCATCACTTGACTGCTCGGTATTTTTGTTTGCTTGTTATTATTCAGTTTTATTACTTTCTGTTTTTTCATGAAATTCATTTTGTTTTCAAATTTAGTACAAATTTATAATTATATTTCACTATTTTTAAAAGTTTATTTCTTTTATGAGTGAGAGTGAGCATACATGTGTATCCCCAACAGGGTCCTGATGGCATGGTCCACCCCAAGCCTTAGCTCCAGATCATGGGCAAGTATGTTGTGCTCTGTACTCAGGGAAGTCTCCAGGCATGAACCCTGAACCCTTCCATGTCGGTTAGCCTCACAGAACATTGTGAAACTCTGTGGGCTCTGTCCAGCCTCGATATTTCTTTACACATACACATACACATACACACACATACATATTGTCACACACACAAGGTGTAATATTTCCCCACACTCCAGTTCCTTGTCTATACAGTTCTTACTCCTCCCCAACCCCGTAACCAGACAGTAGTTTCTTGGATATTCTTCCAGAGCTTCTTTACATATAAAGTAAGATGAATATGTATTATTTTCTTCCATGTTCCACAAAAGTTAGTGTATGCTATAAATTGTACATGCAGGATCCATCTTCCAACTGCAGTATTTCCCACTGTATGGATATACCAAATGTATCTAACCAGTTCTCTAATGATTACATTTGGGTTGTGTCCAAACTTGCAGTTCCAACCATGTCGTTGTTTCATTGTGTCTGTATGTTAAATCCTCATGCACCAGACCAAGAGAACTTCATTCATTACTTTGCTAAGTGTTGCCAAATTGCTCTCTCCAGAGGTTGTTGGGTTTACAGTCTATTGCAAAAGAGGGCCCAGAAAGTTTGTATCAAATCTGTATCAAAATTAAACAAATTTTTTCTAAACCACCCTTAAATTGTAAAAAGTGTATTAGGATATAACTTAGATGCAGTAAATTCACCCTTTTTGCTATAGAGTAGGCAGTATAATTTTAATTTAATTTCCGTTATAAACATGGTGTGTTCTTTTTATAATCACAAGACAAGAGATTTTTAAGCCCCAAAATGTAATGAATACAACGTTTAAATAAGACTAGTCGATTGGCACCATCTTATTTCTTTCAGCCTCAGCAGATTTCATCCTTTGGCAAATTCAGAGCATACAGCGCAATACAGAATGATTTTTTTTAATGTTTCTGCCAATTTTGGAGAAGCACCGTAAGACAGATTGACTGTCAAGATGGAAAAGCTTAACAGGGAAGATACATTTATTGAATAATTGAAAGGAAGAGGAAGTACATTAGTGATTAGCCACCAAAATGCATGACGCCTAACCAGTGCCTCAAGAGACTCACTGTAAATGGGAGTCATGAAAGTGTTCTAGCCCCCAGAGTTCTGACCAGTCCTCAAACACGTCACTGCTTTGCTTACAGGTTATAGTGTATTGATGGATTGGTGGTAGCCGAAGTGTAGGGTTCTAGCAACTCTCTGGAGCTTTTCCGATATTTACACTGTCTGGTGTGCTTCGATTTTGTAATGGAATCCTGAATCTACCGTTATCTTTGTTGTTTCAGGACTTTTGCTTTTTAGGGGCAGCTTTGTGAAGACTGGAGAAAAGGTACTTGGTGGCAGAGTTAGGACCAAATCTCAAGCTTTATGGCTTATCAGACTGCCAAGTGATCCCCCAGAAAGCAAGTTTCTTAACTTCTCTGGGTTTACTCCCTGCCCAGTCTGAGAGGGGTGGACAGGATCCTTGCTACTCAGAGTATGGTTGGAGAACAGCAGCATCGGCATCACCTTGGAGACCCTCAGAGGCAGACTCTGGAGCCTTACCCCACAGCTACTGAGTCCAGATCTGCATTTAATAAGATCTCTTTGGGTGATTTGTATGCATGTTACAGTTTGAGAATCTGGGATGGTCTCCTGGAGTCTGGACTTGTTTCAAAATTCCATGCTTCTAAGTTTTTTCAGTCATTAATCACAGATGGTTCGGTACAGATTTGCAGTGTCCCACTGGAAAAGTTCTGGTCTTCCCTGTACCTTTCCTGGTTTATCAGTGATGGTGGTGACTGCTACAGTCTCGACACCACTCCTGGAACTCTAGCTGTGTTTAGGATGGGATGGAGAAAACGGAGCAGCGGGGGAGCTGAGAACGCCAACCCCGCTGGCCTCTGCAGAGCCTTGGGAAGCAAGCCGAAGCCTTCAGGATGCTGCTTGCAAACATGCTTGTGTTGTCCAAATTCCATGGGCTCATTAAAGAGCAGAAGATAAAGAGAGTCAGGCCGAATACTGTGTAGTACTCAGCTATGTATTTCTCATGTGCAACTTTGGTGGCAAAAGAAAATTTAAATGACATGCTCTGGGTGATGTCCTTTGGAAAAATGAAGCCTTCTTTGTGAGAGAGAATTTGTTTGGACGTTAATTTTTGGAGGTAATTTGAATGTAAACTTACTAAGATAGACAATATTTACTGATCGATTTATTCTTTATGATTCCGGTCTGGAGAGAACAGAATAGCACAACAGGATAGAACTGTGCTCCCGCCATGGTACCGCCATGGTAATAATCCTGTATTAGCCGTCATGGGGCATCCCTGCTCTTGCGCACACAATCTTTCGCGGCATAAAACCTCTCTTTTGATTTTGTGGTGTTTTGATTTGGGGGCTGTTGGTGCTTTCTGTCCCAGACTAATAGGCACGCATTGTAGAAAGCATGTGGTTTTTCGGGTCATTAGTATAGTGGAAATTTATGAAAGAAAAATCTGGAGAATTCTGCAAAAGATGATTGAAAAGGCATCGTGAGTGATGCAGAGCCCGGGCCCCTCACTGTGGCACCCATGGATCCTGGGTCAAGAGGAAAGCCATGGCGCATTTTGGCATAGAAACACACATCATGGTTTTCCCAACCACCTAATAAAGAGTCATCTTTCATGATCTAAGGGCTCTTCTGGCTGGATGGGATCTATCCAATCCAGGAGCTTAAATACTGCCCTTCAGCCCTGATGTTAGAAACTATGATTTTGGAAAGCCAGAAAATACCATCTTTTTTCTTTTTTTTTTTTCTTCCTTCCTTGCTTTCTTCTTCTCCCTCCCTCCCTCCTGCTCTCTCTCTCTCTCTCTCTCTCTAATGAGGTGGGGACCTCCCTTGTGATCCAAGGGGCATTCCTTAAAAATCCTAGCAATGAGAGTTGGCATCCATCTCACTTCCGTTCACACGTGCACCTTTCTCCTCAGTGTTGCTGGGGTCATTGGTGAGCCTGAGGAGGCCGACTTTCAACCGGAAGGTTAGCCCTTGCTAAACACAACGCTATTTCTCTAAATGTCAAGTGTACTTCTTCAGTCAAACTGGAAAGAGGGGAGTGAGGGAAGGCCAAGAAAAAAAAAAATCTGTGTGTTATTAGATAACATTTACTTCATTTGCTATTGAAAACATTTCTCTTCTGTGTATTCAAGAACCATATTTGTTTTGAAAGGGAAAAATCAACTGGTTGGCTATTGTTTCTTAATTGTGTTCAATAAAATACTTGGTGGAGATGAAGGAAAACATTCATTTTCAGACACTGGCTAGCCTGGGCTGCTTTCTTGCATGCAGCCTTCTCTGGCCGGCTGCTGCTCTGCGCCCCGGGGCCCTCGCTGCCTGAGGGGCCACGGCTGTGCCCTCATCTTTCCCCATCGCCATGGCCCCATCCGCAGTGTGCTCATACCCGCTCGCTGGGCTGTGTGATCTAGTCCGGGGGTTGGCCTCCCCTCCTGTTCCACGCTCACATGTCATTGTTGCCTGTGGTTTTGTCTTTGCCTTCCCTCCTACAGATCCGGAGTTAGGTGTCGGCACGCCACCGGAACATGACAGCCAGGATGCAGGGCCGATTGTCCCCAAGATATCGGGTCTAGAGAGAAGCCAGGAGAAGAGCCAGGACTGTTGCAAAGAGCCAATCTTTGAGCCTGTGGTGCTTAAAGACCCCTGCCCTCAGGTCCCACCACCGCTAGCCCAGCCCCAGGCGGAGCCTCAACTCCGAGCTCCTTCTCCGGCCCCTGACTTGGTGCAGCGCGCAGAGGCCGTGCCTCAGCCCCCTCCTTCAAGTACACAGCCTCCACAGGGCCCGCCTGAGGCCCCGCTCCAGCCTGCGCCACAGGCGCCGGC